TCAAAATTGCCAATTGAAAAATTGAAAAATCTCGATTTTTTTAAATGCAACGCCCTGTATATTTTCATACCATGAGATGCAGAATTAAATTCTCTACAACTTTGCTATACCTGCTCCTATACCAAAATTCATTAGTTTTTCATGAAATCTCATTTCTATGAAAAAATGCGAAGTTTACAAAGAGCTTATATGTAAAATAACGTAATAGGCTCCTGTCAAAGGATAATCTAGAAAAGCGACAGTAATAATTGTGAAATGAATTACTCTAAAGAAGAATTAGTAAATAAATAATAGAATAATTAGTAAAACTGATGGTAACTGTTTATAGGCCTTTGTCCTTTGGATTGACTTCTACTTCCCAATAACCACTTTTGTGATCCAACATAGAAAACCATTTCGCAATTGCCAGAATGTCTATAATGTCATCGATTCTAGGTAGAGAGTAACCGTATTTCTTTGTGTCATTTACCCTTGTGTAGTCAACACAAAATTTGATAGAACATCTTTCTTGGCGTCTAACACTACCGGTTAACTCCATGGTCTATTCGAAGGTTCTCTTACACCTTGATGTTTCATGTTCTTCGGGAGATTTTCCTCTTCCTCCTTGTTTCAACAAAGGAATGCTTCTTGGCGTTTGTTTAATGGATGCATGATCACCAGTATCGATTTTGTGCTAGTTCTTTCTCAGACAAAGCAAATATATCATATTTCAGTAACACAGATAAAACATTTTAGTTCTTGACTACTCAAAGATGACTTCACCTTTTCCGCCAATATCTTCAGAAACTTCACCTAAAGTCATACGACACTATTGGACACGCTAAGTGGGGTACGGATTACGTCTCTCATTTGTTTTTGGGTCCTACTTTTTAGCTGCGCGTGGTAGACTAGGGCTGTAGATCTTTCACTATCAGTCCAATTATTAACTTTGCCTGCGACATCAAATTCTTTCATGTAGGTGTACCAACAAGATTTACCATCATAAATTGGGGTCTGAAATTTGGTTGTACCTTGATGAGTTTATTAAATTTTGACAGTTCTCGTCATGGAGTCACGTATCCTTGCTTCTTTATCAAATCCTTTTTCCTTTTTTCTACTTCTTTTCTTACAATAGTTCTCTCTTCTTCCACTGCTTTCTCTATGTTATCGAATCTGCACTCCACGTTTTCGAACGGGGGATTTATGTCTTGATGTTATTTATTCTACTAGCTTGTTCATCTAATTATTTCATCATGTCACATTTCATTCTCTCTAATTGATTTCTCACGTCACTTTTAAGTTCGTCTTTCATATTCCCCATATTTGATCTTAATGCATCAAGTGCATCTTGTCCCGTCGTCATATTAGATCTTAATGCTACCCCTGTCCTGCCTTCATATAAGATCTTAGTTTATGCTGTGCATTTTGTCATGTCTTCATATCAGATTGCCATCATCATTTCCATAAGCTGTATCACTTACTTTTCTATTTTTACTACTTTAGATCTTGTACTCACGGATATTCACTGTCTTCTAAAACAAATAATCCTCTAAATTCCCCTTCCGACACCAATTTATACCAAATTTCCTTTATTTAGCACAATTATTTTACATCAGTTTACGAAATTTAATAACTTTGATGTTTCACAATAACTTAATTACAATTAAACCTTCAAAAACTCTGTCTGTAAATTGGTGCGACCGTTTATATTTCGTTATTGCTCGAATTTTCCATAGGTTTCTAAGAACAATATAGAACAATATCTAAGCTTCCAAGAACGTAAAAGAACGAAACATCATGAAACATATAAGTATCCAAATGTATAACATAGCACATTAGGATGACTCAATTACAAAGTAAAAAAAAATAAAATATGCATGTATATTCTCGAAAATACACCATCCAGTTTGTTGATTAAGCTGATCATCGAGTCTATTCTTGAATTAATTAAGCGATGGTGCCGAAACCACATAATCTGGTAGTTCCACAGGTTGAACATTCTGTTGGGTAAAAAATGAAGTCTGTTGAGGGTGTGGAAATTTTCTTTCTTAAGGTTGAAGGAGTTACCTCTAAGACGAGAATCAGTATTTAAGTGAAACATAATTTCTGGACAGTATAAATCACCATGAAATATTCTATAAGTTGTTATGAACTCACCACAAATACGTCACACTTCCAATGATTGAAGACGAAGGCGTATAAGACGATCTTCATATGTAAGGTATTTAAAAACTACTGAGAATTTTGTAGCACGCCGTTGAATACGTTCCAATCTTGCAATGTCCTGCTTTAATAACAGAGACCATATGCCTACAGCAAATTCTAACTGGGGGCGAATAAAGGATTTATATAACTTGAGAAACATGCTGATATTGAGGTCACAGAAAGATTTTTTAATTATGAAAATTAATTGATTGCACTTCTTCACAACATGTGCTCTCCAAGAAAGATACTCTGTTATATCAACTCCGAGATCATTTTGATGTGTCACACTCGGTAGTTAGGATTGGTTTTAGACATGTGTAGCACACCAATTCATAATCGTATTAAGACAATTTTGCAAAAGCGAAGAAGGTGAAAAAAACAATTTTAGGTCATCTGCATAAGATAACACTTGAGACGTGCAGTTATTGGTAAGGTCAGATACGTATATTATTCGATGTTAAAAGTTGATAATGCAAATGCGTGTCAAGCACGTGTTTAAATGCTTATTAGTCGCGTAAAAGCTCCATGAAGCTTAAAAACTGTATAATACGTATATATTCGTCTAGATAGCGCGTATCCATTCGTTTGTGTGAGTTGTGTGTGCGTGTGCGTGCGTGTGTGTGTGTATGTGTATACTTTTCATAAACAAATAAACGAAGAGGCTAGGAGTAATGCTATAGTAATACTTTTATATTCACGTGCAATCTGGTCACTTAGCCATTCTTCTCGATCAATTATATATTTTATTTGAGTTATTATAGCGTATGATTGTATCCAAAGTAACTCCAGAGTAACACCCACAGTAAGATATAGTAGTCGAAACAACTATAGGATACAGTTTCTCACGTGTTTTTAAATCAGTATTTCAAAATATATATATCGAAAAATAGCGTGTTTTTAAATATACCTACTTATTCTGTTAGAAAAAAATATTATTCTTTATTTAACATGGTAATTTAGATATCCAACTGTGAGTAATCTATAGATATCGATAGCAGAGCATATTTTATGTAAAGATATTAGAAATATTATACTAATATTTATGAGTACGTCAAATATTTAAAATGTTGAAAAATATCAGTTTCGTTGGACTTCTTAATCGATATTACTATTCAATTACCATCCACTTGCATTTTTTGCTGTGTTATACTCCCGATATTGCTTTGGTCATTTTTTCACAGGTGTGTTCATTTTGTAATTAGCAGTTGAGTTTGTTGCAATATAAATGGCTTTCAGACTACAAATACAATGTTGTAGTTACGATCGGGCTTTCGCCCCGCGAAATATGGTACATTTAAATAGAGTGGTAATGGTAAATGTAGATTTTTTGGAGATATTGCTATAAATCGACGATATGACGCAGGTCTCCCTCCAGCAATTGTTACACCTGAGAGTCGAATATGTAATAATTGCTCTATCTACTATTTCAATTTCACGACGAATAGTTTGGAAGCAATTATTACATATTCGAGTCTCGGGTGTAACAATTGCTGGAGGCAGACCTGCGTCATTTCGTCGATTTATAGCAATATCTCCAAAAACATCTACATTTACCATTACCACTCTATTTAAATGTACCATATTTCGCGGGGCGAAAGCCCGATCGCAACTATAACATTGCATTTGTAGTCTGAAAGCCATTTATATTGCAACAAGCTCAACTGCTAATTACAAAATGAACACACCTGTGAAAAAATGACCAAAGCAATATCGGGAGTATAACACAGCAAAAACTGCAAGTGAATGGTAATTGAACAGTAATATCGATTAAGAACTATTTGACAATAAGTCCAACGAAACTGATATTTTTCAACATTCTAAATATTTGACGTACTCATAAATAATAGTATAATATTTCTAATATCTTCACATAAAATATTCTCTGCTATCGATATCGATAGATTACTCACAGTTGGATATCTAAACTACGATGTTAAATAAAGAAGAATATTTTTTTCTAACAGAATAAGTAGGTATATTTAAAAACACGCTATTTTTCGATATATATTTTGAAATACTGATTTAAAAACATGCGAGAAACTGTATCCTAAAGTTGTTTCGACTACTCTATCTTGGGTGTTACTCTGGAGTTACTTTGGATACAATCATACGCTAATAACTCAAATAAAATATATAATTGATCGAGAAGAATGGCTAAGTGTGCTGACCAGATTGCACGTGAATATAGAAGTATTACTATAGCATTACTCCGAGCCTCTTCGTTTATTTGTTTATGAAAAGTATACACATACACACACGCACGCACGCACACGCACACTTACACAAACGAATGGATATGCACTATCTAGACGAATATATACGTATTATACAGTTTTTAAGAAGCTTCATGGAGCTTTTATGCGACTAATAAGCATTTAAACACGTGCTTGACAGGCATTCGCATTATCAACTTTTAACATCGAATATCTCGAAAACTGTCCATTAGCGAACTTTGGGTCCATGAAGACTTTTGTTCCTCATAACAAAAACAACCTATTCCCAAAACTTCATTAAAATCGACCGAACGGAATTTCCCATAAGGTTTGTGCGGGGTCCTTTCTTGTACCTATTTTAAATATTCTCTAATTTAGAAATATTTCATATTTAATGTAATTTTTATTTAATGGATGTTTCCAGTCCTTAGAAATTTTTTTTCTGCAAATTTACCTACACTTTTAGTGCAGTATGTCTTTACATATTAAATAAAAATAAGATAAATTATTAATTGCGGATAGAATTAGACACTAGACCGATTACTCAGATCGTACGATCGTAGTGTAAAACTGAAATAAGAGAATAAATAAAATCTAAATACATTATTTTTTATCTTTTACATAAGAAAACTGATACAAAAATGCTGCTATAAGTTTTGTTCCTTCATAGTAGTTTCTATATGATATATTTTCATTTTCTTCACTTAGATTTGATGTTTTGTTGCAAAGCGGTAGGAGCAAGATTGGTCTCTCTAGGAATGTATTAAAAATTGCAACACTCTCCCTTTCTCTATCTTCTCGAATCATATTGGCGTTCTCTTTATAAATCTGAAAATAGAATACCGGATTAGGCCAAGTTTTGTTAAAAGGAGAACACAGTAAGAGGAAGTAGGTACCATAATTTCCGGGTCAACCACTGAACCATCAGTACCATCTATTTGAAAATCTTTTCGTCACTTGTTGCACTGAAGTTAAATTAATTAATAAAACTTTTCAATAGAGAAGAATATTTTACATAAGGAAAAATGATTATTGCCGAAATGCTGAATTTATTACATTTTTTTAATAATAAAAATTTAAATATACTTAATGACTAACAAAATATTTTTTTATGGTTTTTCAGTGGAATTAAAATGGAACTTATTTCTCTACATATAAAAAAGTAATTAACTTTCGCGAAACTTCATCGATTTCAATTTATTTTATATAGAAAATGAAAATGTACTTATAGAAAATAAAAATGGTTTTAAAATAACATGCAACAAATGAAGATATGACATTTAAAAGTGGCGACGATAGTTAAATGGTTCACTTGACAACAATAGTGCTGCATCCTTCTTCGAACAAGAAGCGAACCTTCTCCTGAATATTTTGAACTACACATTTCCTAAATACAGAAGTTTTTAAATTGGTACCTTAAAATATTATTATAAAATGTATAAGTACCTAAACAATTTTTGTTATTTCAGACCACGGAAAAGAAAAAATAGCAGAGTGTTTCAAACTCGATCCAAGGTTGCTATTGGCTAAAAAAGACGTGAATAAAAATTTCGCTTAGGGATTTCAAATAGGAGCACTTAGGCTTGTTTTTTAGGAAAATTATTACTGAAACTTATGGAAATGCCTGTTATGATATCATGAAATATATTTTTGATATCTCATTTCGATTAAAAGTTACAAGTAGAAATGTGAAAATAAAATCTAAATATTTTGTTTGTTAATTTGAATAGTTTATTTCAATTAACATGACAACGCACGATGAAAAAGATGATATGATCTTAATTAAAGGAAAAGTCAAAAAAATGTAAAAGTGCGAATTTATCAGGAAAAATATCCTATTCCCTGATCATAAAAAAATTATAGGATTGGAAAAGGCCTTCAAGAAAATCAATGTGCATTTTGTAATCGAAACGGAAAATCAATTCAGAAAAGAGACATTTAATTCGACACGCTAGCAGGGAATTAAATTTAAATAATAATATCTCTACTCCTCATTCTAACTACCAGAATTAGCCCAGAAGTCGGAGACTTGTGCGGGAGAGGAGGCGGCATATTATTATTACGCAGGCCGCATTTGCGCCCAGGAACGACTTATGTTGGTAGGCCCTAACCACCATTCAGTGCAGGAATGAGGGAAACCTGGAAAACCTCATTAATTAGGGGGGTGGTCAAATGCCAACCGATGTCAATCTCTCACATTGACCCAAGCCGACATTGTTCCACCCTACCATACCTGCACAGAGGGTGCCAATCCTTCGTACAAGCATAGCTAATCTACGGTCTACCGGCCGCGGGATTCGAAACCCGGGCAGATTGAAACCGTGCGGCTATCGACCGATTTATAATAAGTCCTCAATTCAAAGAATTATGAGTAGTAGTAAATATCATGACTAGTTACACAATTGAAAACAATTAGGCGATCTGAATATGGAGAAACGGATAAATTTTATTTCCCAAATTATGGTACTCACAGAAGTTACTGACAGGTGAGGTTTTTATTCTTTGGGCAGTTGAAAGCCGTTTTGTAAACAATGGCCTAACAGATGAAACGAGCATTATTTTGTCAACCTCATAAATAATCAAGATCAATTTGATGTCAACGTCTGATGTGACATTATTGGCCGCTATCTAATTGGACCATATTTTCATGAAGGAATATTAGATGGTAGAAGAAATCTGAGTTTTTTTTCAAGAAAAACATCCAATTCTGCTTGAAAATGTGCCTCTGCGATCAATGTGGTTTGAGAACATGGCGGAGTTCCATCTCACAGAATTCGTATTGTCTGTAATTATTTAGATGAACTATCTCACGATAGATGGATAAGGATTAATGATCCCATAAAATGGCCAAGGAAGTCTCCAGACATGACCCCCCTTAGATTTTTGTTTATGGGAACCTCTCAAAAACAATGTTTATAAGACCGTCTTTCAAAATATTGACCATTTGAAAGAAAAAATTAGAATTTCATGTCAAGGCATTTCTCCAGACATAAAAAAAAACACTCAAAGAGAAGTCCGGCGGCGATTGGATATTGTGTTTCTTAGAAAGTCACAGAAAATAATTTAAGTATAGTTGATTTATTAAAATGTTAGTTATTTGAAATATTTTTATTTGTGTGTTGTTTGAATAATTGTACTATTTCTTAGTAATTATTGACATTTTATAGTTCTATATTTACATTATAATATTATGACAAATATAATAGTACTCGATGGTCAAACTATCTATTGTTTTTCATGGAGACCGACTTAAATCATGACTAATCCGATTTTGTTCGAGATACGAGTATTTAAAATAAGCCCATTTTCACATTTCTGCTTGTAACCTTTAAACGAAAGGAGATATTAAAAAAGTACGTAAGCCAAGCTAAATTTTTATTTATGTCTTTTATTAACCAATAGCATCCCTGGGGCATCGAATTTGAGACACCATGTACATAGTATGCTTTTTAATTTCACGGACGATTCTTCACCCTTAGGATACGCATACGAAATACGCACTGTGGTACATTATACTATCGTTTAATATTTATTCCTTACTTATCTATTTTTTTTATTATCGCATTACCTGAATAACCGCATTTTTTGCAGCTTTGAAGTGTGGTGTTCGAAAATTTTCAAGCCATGGTCGTATAGATCTCAGCAGTTGAATAGTTACTTTATTCTCGATGTTCAATTCTTTGATCGCATTCTGAATATGTTTCCTGACCTGCGAATCCACTTTACTCACAATTTGTTTAGGCACAATTTTTAATAGGAAATATCTTTTAACTACAGATGTATCTTTTTTGTCGCAAATGCATTCCTGTATCTCATCGACATAAATAGATGGCATCCTCCAGAAACTCATTAGAAGTTTTACTTTGTCCCATGCTCTTTTATGCGGTGGCAGTGATTCTCTAAGAAATAAATTAATTACTTATTATGTATACCTATTAATAACGTAAACTTTGAACGACACATTTCTGAAAAATTTATGGCTCAACCAATTTTTAGCTTACGCTTTATTCGCCCGTGTTTCATACAATATTTTCATTCCAATTAAAAATGTTTATTTTAAAGTAAAATCATGAGGAAAAGCTAGAAAGTGTCATTCATTTCCCATGACATCAAGAAAAAGAGTATAAGACTGACAACAAATAATCGTTCACCTTATCGTAAGTTCTTGTTACTAGAAGATTTTTCTATTGTCTATCTACTGGTTCCATTAGACCCATAATATTTTATCAAAATTTCTTCAACATTTTTATATCAAAGCAGTTTAAAGACTTAACTTAAAGAAACTTATGAAGACTGTCGTATTTGACTACTTGTTATCTGAATTACTAATACCGACTAACATCAAACAACAGAAATTACAAAAAAATAGAATGGAATAATTAAAAAAACATTGTACAATTCAGGATTTCTATGTTTTATTTTGAGAGGACATAATTATTTACAATTATAAAGACTTATCGCCAATAAATCATGAGAAAGCAGGCCGTATCTGGCTGCTAATTTGATCTAATAAAGCCCTGTACTTTAAGTCTCGGTTAAAGGTTGATTAACTGACCAGCGATTAGAATGTGCATTTACTGATTTATTTTATAAAGTATAATCACAGTCTAATCGCCTGATTAGTTAATCAAGCCTTAACCGAGACTCAAAGTACCGGGCCTTATGCTGTTATTGTCTACAATTATTTTAGTGATTTACCTTATGTCTTCCGGATCAAATTCTTGAATACATTCATACATTAGCTCCTCATCTGGTGAGACCGGTATTACATAATCGTGAAATCCTTTTATTAAAATGTTGTCTTCCTCATCCGTGATTGTTTTAAAAATGTTTTCCATGTCTTCTTTAACGTTTGTCTTAGATTGCTCTGTTTTCTCCACAGTTACCTCGTAATGTAAGATACCTAATAATAATAATAAAATATTAATTTTCAAAATACCGGGCAATTTTTTTAACCTGAAACTTTCAAATATTTCGAAAAATAAACAATTCTATAATCTAATCATTCCGCGGGGGAAGCACATTATTGCTAAAATCTCGTCCCCTCTTTGTAGGTGGGTCAAGGGGTAACTTTGAAATCTTAAATGGAAACCCCTCTTTTTTTATTACATATTAGGATTCTATGGCTAAAAGTACGTAGGATTTGTCTGAAACATTTTCTACGATTGATGATGATGCTGAGGAAATTATTTTTTTTTCGTTTTCTCCTTCTGAAAAACTATGCATACGATTCTGCAATACGTTTGCAATAAAGAAATACCACGTATTCGTTGTAAATAATCAAAATTAGTACCAAGACATTTTGTAAAATGAACTGCCAACATTACTTGAAGACTTAAGCTTAGAAGTGGAACAGAACATGTATTTTCAACGTAATTGTTGGCCAGCACACTATTCGGTAATAGCACATGAAGTACTTGGTCGTGATTCCAATAATTGCTAGATCGGTAGAGCTGGTCCGGTAAATTGGCCTGCTAGGTAACCAGATCTTACTTCACCAGATTTCTTTTTGTGAAGCTATCTCAAATATTTACGAAGTTTACAATCAAGAATCAACAACACGTGAGAATATGATTGAGCGAATCAGAAATTCGTGTGCGAAATTCAAGCAGACACACTTCTCAGTTATGTATAGTTATTTGAAATGCGGATTAGTAAGTGCATTGAAGTCGAGTTGGGCACTGACTTTAATTGAAAGATGATAAGGTAAGTGGACTTATACATAAATTAAGTACCCTGATAGGTAAGAGGCGAGAGAACTCGCCTAAATCAAGCACCCTGATACATGAGAGGCAAAGGGACTCACGTTAATCAAGCACTCCAAAGGACACAGAACTCCTACATCACGTCATTGTTCCACTAAAAGGATTTTATTCACATTTATATTTCTACAGGGAAATTCTGTTATTCGAAATTTTCAACGAATCTTGAGTATTTTCATAAAATTTGGTATTTCTTATTGCAAACGTTAATACGTAACGTAATCGTATACCTAGGTACTCAGTAGGAAAAAAAAATAATAATAAATTTTGTCGATCATCTATGTATCATGAATCGAAAAAAATGTTTCAGACAACTCCTACATACAGGTACTTTTAGCCGTAGTATCTGAATCTGCAATAAAAAATATAGATCCATATTTAACATTTAAGTGTTACCCCCCTGCCCCACCTACAAGGAGTGGGAGAGGGAAGGGGGCTAATTTTAACACTAATGTACATCCTCTGTGGAACGATAAATTCTTAATTTCTAGTTATTGCCTCATTTAAACACTACTACAGCTGCTTGTAGTACTAAAATACCAGTTCGTATTTTGACTGATGTTTGTCAATACATCAAAACCTATAACAACAAAGAAAATAAAAATTTTGCAAAACAAAGATTTGCATGAAGTATTTTTTATTCTCCTTATACATATTATTATAGAAATTAAGCAAAATGCAAAGCAAATTAACATGTAATTGAAATCAGTTTAGTTTGTTGATAACGGTATTAATAAAATGTAATTGTATATTAATTTGATTTAAAATTTCAAACTCATTGAAAATTATTCCTTAGATTGACCGTCCAAATAAAATAGGTTCCCTTATCTAGATTGCAATTCTATCATGTCTACATTCCCTTTCCCTTCTTATACCAATTTATATGTTGTGTTATTCTGATAATCGTAGTTGTAGCGTGTAAAAAACTGCAATCTGTTGGATTTCATCGCAACTAAGGTCAAATCAAATAGGTATGTATCTGATTGACTGTATTACCTACTGTAGTGCTATTGAGGTTATAGGCTGAAATTGTTTATGGTCTATATTATGTATTTGCTAGCTAGATAGAAAAACCGTCCTAAAGCGGAAGCTTAAAGTATGTGTTCCTGAGCGATAATTTTGAACTGAAATATATTTTAGACAGGTTTTGTTTATATGACCAAGCAGGTGTTTTTATGTTTTTCGTTAATAAAAAAATTTTGAGCGCACTTAAACTTAGTTAGGATAAAAATAGCCGTAATATAGAGATTTACTATTTTTTTTTTCATTGCCATCCCCGTGGATGTTTGCCAAGTCTAGAAAAATTGAAATATTAATCAACAACGAGTGGGTCAATATCACATACAGAAATAAGTTGCAATACATCGCCTTAGATAAAAATTGAACAGGAATGAAAATAGTAAAAGAAATAACTTTTGATCTGATGCAGAATATACAGGTGCCCGCAAATTTCACTGACAACGTTTGACTGCATATTCACGACGATAAATAAATACGATCTACGAAAAAAAAGTTAAATAAAAACTTTTTGGGTTTTGAGTTACAGACCTTCAAAGTTGTCAAAAATAAAACTAATTTAATTAATAA